TTGGTCAGTGTTGGTCAGCAGTGAACTATGTTGGTCAGTGTTGGTCAACAGTGAACTATGTTGGTCAGTGTTGGTCAGATAATCATTGTTGATCGTTTTGGTCTTTGTTTGCTATCATTGGCTATCATTGGACAATCTTTGTCTGTGTAGATCAGTGTAGGTAAATTTTCATTAATATTGGTCAGTGTTGGTCAGTATTGATCAGTGTTTGCCATTGTTGATCATATGTGGTTATCATTGGTCAGTATTCATCAATATTGGGCTGTGTTAGTGTTGGTCAATATTGGTCACTGTTGCTCAGTGTTGGTCAACATTAATTATTGATCAAAATCAATCAGCATTGGTCAGAGTTGGTTATCTTTGGTCAGCATTGGTCAGTATTGTTATTTTTAGTCAGCACTGGTCACTATTGGTTAGCATTGGTCACAGTTGATCAGTGTTGGTGATCTTTGGTCAGTGTCGGTCAGGGTTTATTTTTATTCATTTGAGGGATGTGGGTGTCACTGGCTGAGTCCAGCATTTATTGTTTGTCCCTAATTGCCCTTGAGAAAGTGGTGGTGAGCTGCCTCAGAAGGATAGTGTACCTTTAAGACAGTAACATGACATCATGAGATGTTTTTGTACCTAAGATGGCATTGGTGAGTAGCAACATTGTACTTTTCACTGTATTGCCGTACTTCTGTTCTTGAGTGCACTTGACAATAAAACCTAAATCTAATTCTAAAGCTCAAGTCTAAAAGCCCTTATTTTTGGTCACTCGCTATCAGTGTAATGGAGTCAATGTTAGGAGGATACACATTCAGCAATGTATATGTTACAAGAATATCAGTAACTTCAGAACACAGACTTAATCACTTGTGGGAAATGGGTGTTGCTGGCCGGGCCACATTTATTGCCTGTCCCTAGTTGCCCTTCAGAAGGTGGTGATGAGCTGCAGTCCATGCCCTGAGGGAGGGAATTCCAGGATTGTGACACAGCGACAGTGAAGGAACAGTGATGTATTTCCAAGTCAGGTTGGAGGGGAACTTGCAGGGGGTGGTGTTCCCATGTATCGCTGCCCTTGTCCTTCTGGATGGAAGTGGTCGTGGGTTTGGAAGGTGCTGACTGAGGGTCTTGGGTGAGTTTCTGCAGTGCATCTTGTAGATAGTACACACTGCTGCTACTGAGCGTCGGTGGTGGAGGGAGTGGATGCTTGTGGGCGTGTGCCAATCAAGCTGCTGCTTTGTCCTATGTATTATGTGTAAATGAATGCTTTATTAACATTGAAAGTAACGAGTGCTGCTAATAATGTTCAAGCTGTCTCAACAAGAACCCAGCACTTTTGACACGTCATGTGAGCTAACACACATGGATGTTCTCCAGGTATTTCAGACTGATAGAGGTGTTTGATCCAAGGAACTACGTCATGGTGTCAGTAGGTCATCACGAGAAGATAGTGGCAACTAATGGTGAGAGCGAGAAACAGAATAGGTACAAAAGGGTGATCAAGTGGGTGGTAGCTGTGAGGAACTCTCTTCCTAAGAGCCATTACTAATCATTTCCATGAGTTCAAAGTTGATATTTACAACTCCAATCAAGACTGAAGACTACAACTCTACTGAAGGAGGCGATCACAGAAGAGGAACAGTTATGAGTAGCCAGTCTCTCTGTCCAATCAGGTGTCTGATCTAGAAAAAAGTGGCAGTTTACAACTGATAGAACTGATTGGGCAAAGCAATCCAAGGAGGAAGGACAGCCCAAAACGCTGGAATTTACCAGCACACAGATCATGAATGCCTCACCATCATCGCTCGATTCCACCACCTTGTCTTCAGAGGAAGTAGTACAAAAATAGAAGAAAATGCATGGGACTAGAGTCATAGGATCATACAGCACGGAAACAGAACCTTTGGTCTAACCAGTCCATGCTGACCATAATCCCAAACTGACTGTGCTTGGCCCATTTTCATCCAAATCTTTCCCTTTCATGTACTTAGCTAAATGTCTTCTAAAACTTGCAACTGTACCTGCATCCGCCACTTCCTCTCGAAGTTCATTCACACATGAACCACCCTCTGTGTAAAAAAAAAAATTCTCCTCATGTCTTTTTTAAATCTTTCTCCTCTCACTTTAAGAATATGTCCCCTAGTCTTGAAATTCCCTACCTGAGGGAAAAGACAGCTGCATTTACCTTATCTATACCCATCATGATTTAATTAATTTTGCTAAGGTCCTCCCCTAAACCTGCAGGATAGGTAGCAGTGTAATTTTAACAGTAGACATGATGGGCTGAAGTGCCTCTTCTGTGTTGTATGATTCTATGATTCTAAGCATTGCATTACAATACAGATTTTAAACAAGTAATTTAAAGAGCATAGGACTACAAAAGAAAATCGGAAAGCAAACATCTGGGTATGGATTGAAACTGTACTGACATTTTGTCAGAATTTCAACTGTTTAAAGAAAGAATCAATCTTTAATTCCTGGATCAACAAATAGCGGAAGGAGGTAAACAAAAACAGAAGTTGCTAGAAAAGCTCAGCAGGCCTGGCAGCATCTGTGACGTAAAAAGTCAGAGTTAACATTTCGGGTCCGGTGACCCTTCCTCAGAACTTAGCTGAAGGAGAAAAGCAATCCGTCAAACCCCTAAATAAAAACCGAAAGGACTGCGGATGCCATAAATCAGGAACAAAAACAAAAGTTGCTGAGAAAGCTCAGCAGGTCTGGCCAGTTATGAGGAAGGGTCACCAGACCCAAAGTGCTAACTCTGTTTTTTCCTTCACAGATGTGCCGGACCTGCGGAGCTTTTCTGTCAAACTCCTTATTGTTTTTGGAAACAAATGATCAAACCCTCCACTATTTTGAATGATCACTGGAAAGATCCTTATGTTCCATAAGAGGCCATTGATTTAAAATGGATAAGAAGCCAATTCCCACAGTTCAACACAGTACTTACAACCACTTGTGAAGAAGGCCCAACCAGGGAATAATATTGTACTGTGTGCGGTTCTGGTCATCCTGCTATAGGACGGATATTATTAAATTGGAGAGGGCCCAGAAAAGACTTACCAGGATGTTGCTGGGAATGGAGGGTCTGTGCTATAGGGATAGGCTGGGACTTTTTTTACTGGAGCATGGGGGGCTGAGGGGTGACCTTGTGGAGGTTTATACAATCAAGGGGCATGGATAAGATGAATAGTAAAGGAATTTCCACTAGGGTGAGGGAGTTCAAAACTAGAGGGCATAATTTTAAGGTGAGAGGAGAAAGATTTAAAAGGGACCTGAGGGGCAATGTTTTCACACAGAGAGTGGTGCGTATGTGAAATGAGCTGCCAGAGGAAGTGGTAGATGCAGGTACAGTTTCAACATTTAAAAGACATTTGGACTGATATATGAATAGGAAAGGTTTAGAGGGATATGGGCCAAACGCAGGCAAGTGGGATTAGTTTAGTTTGGGAAACTTGGTTGGCATAGATGGGTTGAACTGAAGTGTCGATTTCCGTGCTGTATGACTCTGTGACTGTATAATATCAAAGAAGCTTTTAAACTTTTGACATTGGCACACAATCATGTCACCAATGTCTAAAAGCTAATGGCAATGTTACAGCTTACAGAGCTCAGTCAGACAGAACATGTCACCACAACACAATAAATGGGGAAGCTTTCACCTCCATCCAAATGATAAACCCCTGGTTGGACGATGGACAACATGTGCTGCCCACCAAGATTAACGCTGGTGCCGAAGCAAATTTCATCCCTTTATACATTTTACACATGATGTACTCAGGAGATGAGCACAGTGCGGTGCAGTCTACAAATGATAAGCTAACCAAATACACAGGTCTGGCATTACATGAGAGAGATAGTAGGAACTGCCGATGCTGGAGAATCAGAGATAACAAGGTGTAGAGCTGGAGGAACACAGCAGGCCAAGCAGCATCAGAGGAGCAGGAAAGCTGACATTTTGGGTCTGGACCCTTCTTCAGAAAACTTACATGGATTATATGGATTGGCATTAACTGCCAACTCCTGCCTCAGGGTGGGCACCTTACAGCATTGAAGAGGCTGGACCAGCCATTTGTGTTCTGTCAGTATATATTGATCTATATCATATTGTGACGTGTGACATGACGAAGCTGTCACTTACAACTGAAAGATGGTGCCCAGCCCAGCAGTGGGTCAGTGCAGCATTGCCACTCAGGATAGGATCAAATTAGAAGTAAAAAAAAACAAAATCATCCCTAAAGTCGGCTTACTGTGCGGAACAGGCTTGAGGGGCTGAATGGCCTACTTCATTTCCTATGTTCCTGTCAATTGGTGCAGCTCCATTACTTGTGTTTTGAAATAAGCTAGCACTCTATGTTTATGTTAAATCCAAGGAGATGGAACGTTGTACTAAAGAGGTACCTATGAAGAATGATTGCCCAGCAATTTTTCAAGCTCATTACCAAGGACTGATATTTCCCAGATTCTTTCCCAGAGTGGGCAGGAGCTGACAATGTTTGGAAAAGCTTTCAATTGATACTGATTCCTCAGATTACCATTTGAATTGTCAGCCAGTCAGGACAGATTCCAGAAACACATGGATCCTGTCATCTCGGATCGACCAGCATGCCTCGCTGTCTCTGACAATATACCAGGCTTTGGAAAAACTCAACATGAGCTTGAGACAAAGTGCCTTCAGCTGATGTCAGCAACAAGGAAACGTTGCTTTGTTCTGAGCAATAACAAATGTCAAATCAACTTCTTTGGTTCAATTGACCCATCGAACAGCATCAGTTCAGCTGCTACCAAAATAGATAACGTTGAGGTTGGTTGTCTCGCCGAGCTGGT